GGAATTTTTACAAAAGAATACATTTAAATGTATTAGTCACTCATCGTAATAAGACGGTCCATAATTTTGTTATATATATTATTTTACATTTCTTTATGTGGACTTACATCTCGAATCTGCCATGTCTGTTGTGGGTATTTCAGGAGACACACGTGTTTATCTCTCAAGGCACACACCGGCCCGCAACAAGTCCATAGGCTAACTATGAAGTAGTGATGCTAGAGCTGTGAAATCATGCGCGCATTTATTTCAAATCTTTTTTTTAATAACTGCATAGTGTCTTTCCAGATAAACTGGTAAGGGGCTATGTTGAAAAAATAAAGCTAATTTGGTTACATTTCAATATATATCTGTGTTTGTGTAAATATATGAATTACACACAAAGTGCTGGCGTTATAGAAACAGTGCTCAATGTGTATATATTAATAAATATACATGTCCCACACCGTTTGCACTCCTCGGAGTTTCAGGCCAAACGTTATATATATATATATATATATATATAGACGCACATACGTGCGTGGATGGATCATTAAATTCTTCGTTTAACATTCGAACTGAAAAATGATTTTTTTTTTTAAATTTCGTATAATCTTCGATGTATATGATTGAAGAAGATCTGGGTTAAAAAATGTATTGTCAAAGAAACGGTTCATGTGTTGAATAAATACTGTTGCGTAAATTGTATAATTTAGTCTATGCCATATTGTATTATTATAATTATTATTACTAAGACCTATAACTTTCAAAGATAATTTCTCGGTAGTTTATCAAAAATCTAGTCATTAAATATTAAGAATTAAGATTTTGCAACCAATGGACAAAATAGGTTTTTGACCTAAACATTCAAGTGATACAACTAATATCACTTAAACGATACAAACTTTGGTTCTAACTTCCTGAGGTCTCTGATTAATTTCCTCGACTTTTTAAAAGAAGTTTCAGTGGATCGATTATTTCAAATGATTTCCTGTGATCTGCGACAATATCCGGTGGAATAGTTTAGTCGTTTTACCGACATTGAAGGGAAAAAGCTATTGGTCTACTACTGCTACACTGTTTATTCTATTTACTTTCTTTTCATTTTGCCTCAATCTTAATTTGAAAACCTGATGAAAATTGACTTCATTTCTTTCCCTATTTAAAGGAGGAAGAAATTTCGTCTGTTCTTTGGAAACAATAGCTAAATTAGTATGCAGAAAAGCTAACGACCACCTTCTGAAAATGTGACTCCCATTAGCCTCTGCTATACTGTTTTCATTTATTTACATAGATAAGTCACAGGTTTAATAATTAAGAACAGTATTTATTTTACAAAACATAATTTTTTCAACATAATTAACTTCTTAAATCCAGAGATTACATAGATTATTGGTGCAGCCATAACTTAGTTTTAATTTGTTTCTGTTAAATATTTTACTAAGAGGGTTACTTTCAGGAAAATGTTTATCATTCAATTGGAGGAATCTATTGCCTAACATAGTACTGACTAATTGATTAAATGAGGGTGTGTACCAAATGATCTTCCTATTTCTATTTCTTTTCTTTGGATCAATATCATATTTTCTAAACTTGAATTCACGATACTTATGACCACTATTCATTAAAACTTTATTGCACACACCGCTATATTTATCAAACATCTATTTGTCCAATATTTGGTTGCTAATCTTACGTTCTACTGACGAAAGTAGATGTTGGATTAAAGATGGAGAGTAGTGAGAATCAGGGTGAATATAAATTCGGTTAGCATTATTTTTCATATAACTGAAATATACCAATAACGAGATCTAATATAACCAAGAAAATCTACTGGTTTAACATTAGTACTTATCTTAACCTTAAGATTTAACATTTTAGTTCTCTATGAATCATTTTTCTTAATTTATCTACCTTAATTTTAGTGGATTTTTTTACTGCCATAAAACCATCATCTCTATATACACTATACTATCAACTTTGACAGCTTCCTAGACAGTAAGATTATATAGAATAAATAAACCCACCAGATCAGAAGATTTCTGATCTGGTGGGTTTATTGAGATAAACAATAAAAACTTTTTAAACTAATTTAATAATCTGGATTATAATACACATCCCAAGGAAAATATTATTAATGATACTGGCCAATGTAACTGTAGGAATTCCGACCAACGCCCATTGCCAAACAAATGTTTGGCTAACTCTCTTTGTACTACTTCTAACTCTCTTTGTACTACCTCTACAATAGAGAATCAGACGGTTGAAAAATTGTATATTGGTAGTACTAAGAATTCTTTCAAGACTAGGTGGTATCAACATACCTTGTTCTTCACCAATAGTACTTGCAGAATTATTACATCACTTTCTCAATATTTTGGAGGTTTAAAAAGACGATAATAAGGCTCCTAAGGTGAAATGGAAAATTTTAAAAACGGCAAAGACGTGTAGATCTTTATATGAACCCTGTTTCCTGTGCTTACATAAAAAATTGGAAATTATCAGATTCAATAAAAATTCCTTGTTAAATCAAAGAAATGAATTAACAGTAAATTGTAAACCTTTTACCTTAGAATTGAGTTAAACCTTGCAATTTGATTATGCTTTTTCTCATATTTTAGTTGTACTACGTTGCACCATATATGGCTTATGTTTCTATTTGTAAGATTAATATGGATTTAATATAATTTTGCATTAATCCTCTGGTGGTATTAGTAACATCTTGTATGGGTGTATTGGTATTTGGTTGGTATGTTTGACATTTTACATTCATTAGTTAGTGTTATTAACATCTTATATGAAGAATATTATTCAACAGTTGCATATTAATTTCCCAAATAATTCTATGCGTTTAAATTATTTACTAGTTTCTTAAAGGATATTTATTTGTCAACTATATTTTTTTGTATAGGCAATTCACAGAGCATATAATTTGTGTAGCATTTTGTTAAAATATCTCTCTATCCCATTATTTTCTTAGGAAACGGCATTGTCTAGTTTGTACAATTTATGTAACCATTTACATTATTAAAGAATATTAAAGGAATGATAGATAGATAGATAGGAAATGAAAGAAAGAGAAATTAGCGTAAAGTCCTCCTGGTATAAAGCACGAGATCAATTCAAAGTAGAGGTTAACTGTTAAAATTTTAATGGTATACGAGTCATGTACTATGGATGCAAGAGAAGGTGGTAGGAAATAAAGGTTATGAAGGTAAGGAGGATAGCTAATAATTGGCCTTTGACTTGAAGAAGTTAAGACAGTTGTTAAATTCCCGCACCTTCCTATAAAAATATTTCAGTATTGTTTGATACATTGTATACACACATACAGATAAGATGTAAATATTCGATAGATGGTTTTCCGTTTCGCCGTTACATATGACGTCACTTTGAAGTTCATCCAATTTCAGCAATCTAAACGCCAGGATTTAGTCAAAGAAATTTTGTTTACCATACTGATAACACCCAGTTCCTGATGATAACTGAGATAGTCGAAAGTAATTGTACAAAACAGAAAATATGAACTTTGACAAATTATTCTTAATTTCAATCTCTGTATGCAAAATCTCATGCAAAAATTGGAAAAAAATTATAAAAAAAAAATAAACAAACCATGTCGGTAGAATTAAATAAAACTTGTCTGAATGAACTCTTGCTTCCTAAGCGCGCGCACACACACATATATGGTCATATTACTAGTTTCCTTATAAGAAAATATTAAAAACATTAAGCATTCACTGATCGAGTAGCTAGTATTGCTGTCAGTTGAAATTATAAAACCTATGTCTTAAAACAATTTTTCTGGAAAATAGCAGTTATCGCCCTTTCTTGTATTGGTGGAGGCTTCCTTTCTAACCTTTTGTTTGTAGTAGTGTGGAATGTTGATATCTTATTCATGTGATTATTTTCTCTTCAAGTTACACGTGATATACATTCTAGCTGTTGTTGCTATTGATAGCCCTGAAGTGATTTCGTTAGTTATTTAGTACAGTTCTTATATGTTGTAGCAAAACCTACGGACGATAATGGGTATGTCCCCATTGTTGTTGAGTAGTTTCACAGTGGAGGCTTGTATTTGTACTACGTCGGCCCTAAAATAGGTTCGACGTACAAAACGTTAGGAACTTGATATAATAGGTAATGACACAGTAATCTAGTTGTGGTGGCTGATACTTTAATATCCGACTAACGGTCGTCCGGCATCGACTGACTGACCAACTCCCTGAGCGAACAAGCGACTGCTACTTATTATAGGTGGGAGAGCCTATTAACTAGAGAATAGGTGTGTTCCACTATAACACCCATTCACATAAATACAGTAGTAAATACTGCATGTTTGTCTGAAGCTGGAAATTCATTGTGGAATTCACTTGACTCACTTATATCAGCTGACTACTTCTGCGCGCCACTGGCGAATCTTATGTGTTGTTCTTGTCCTAAGTATTATCGTTCATTACCAACCTTCGTCTGATTATTTTATTCAGTAACCTTTCCTAGTTTACAATAATATATATATATATATATATATATATATATATATATATATATATATATATATATATATATATATAGGCAGCAAATTTTATTCAAAATATTTTGTTATTACCAACAGATATGTTATAGCTATTATAATTTAATTATTTGTTTTAGCGAATTAATTTTCATATCTTTTGGTTAATGATACAAAAGGATTGTTAACGGTTAGTGTTTTACGGTTCAACTGTTCGAACTTGAAAAAGAAATAGGAACTGAGGCCAGTTTCTTTACACTTTCTACACCAAAATGAAAAAAAGATGTATCAGAAAAATGATTTCTCAAACTTAACTTTTTAGCGATATTGGATGGACATGGTGGCTGGGCTTAAGGTAAAGCCTTTCATGGGAATAGTCAATATGTGTGAATTAGATGACAGCTAGTATTATAGATTGCAAAATTATGACACTTGATAGTTGATGTTGCTGTTAATCTAAGGATTATTCTAAGTTCTTGAACAAGACATTTTTATTCAACAAAGGCTTGCGGCAACATTCCATTGAAACATTGGTTCCCGTACGATCACCGAAGTCAAGCAATATCGAATATGGTCAATACCTAGATAGGTGACCGCTTAGGAATACCAAGTGCTGTAAGCTTGGATGTGCGGGTGGTGTAATGGATTGGAATTGTTAACTGGGAAGAAGGGTTCCAATTTCATTTAATCTCGTTCTATTTACTTATGCGCAAATACTGCTGGGAAAGGTATGAATGACATCTTCCTTCCAGCTAGGGGTTAATCATTAACACATGCACCACTAAACCGTTATCTAAAAAATTCTTACAATCTAAAAATATTTTCTGGTTTTAAATAATCTGCAAAGGGTTGCTAAGTCATAGAAAACATTAATCAATTGTTCAACAAAGATACTCTAAGCAAAACTAAGGCTGACAACATAAACACAGGAACGACTGGAGTTTATAGGATTTCTGTGCTCCCATATTAGCATGTAAACTAATCTATAATATAATAATTACCGCTGCGTATTTACTTGTATATTTCGTGCCTTGTCCTGTAGCGAGAAGGGAAGTAAATCAATTTAAGATCGTACTTCCCGTAATTCTTTTAATAATCTATAAAATAAAATAATCTGTATTTAGACAAAATTATTTCCCGAGCAAAATGAAAGGTTTAATTAATCCGTTACTCTACAACTGTGTTACTTATATTAAAGTATTATGTGTTCAAGCCTTTCACGCGAGTCACTCAGATACCAATATCAACTAAGAAATCGTCTTGCTTCAAACTGGCCTTGAGGTAGACTTTCTCGCCGTCTTTGTCGTTCTGTTGCTAATATACTTTTTCTTCCGAGAAATCTTTCTATTTTACTGTTATATTAAACATAAAATTTTACCATGTAAATATATTGAGCAAACAGGGATTTATATAATGCCAAGCGTAAACAATGAACCGATGAGATACTATTGAACGACTAAACATATAAAGGGAATAGATTAATTAAATATGGTACATTAACCTCTATTTTAGTTTTTAATTCTATATTTAAGCTTTTGTTTCATTGTATCTCACTATTAACACCTAACAATTGCAATCATTTCGTACACCAGTAAGATATTTTTTCATGTATATATGACATTGTGTTCGTGTTTGTATGGTCGATATACATGGAATTTATTTATAAATAAAAATCTATGTTGCACGTTGTTGGCGTAATAAAACCGTAGACTTGCAAAATGACATGTTTATTAGGGACAGGTATTCTAAGCTGTAATACACGACAAATTACTCAAATATAAGGATATACTGAAAAAATTACTAGTATCTGTCCTTTAATACCAATTTTATTGGGAAAATATTAACTTGCATCATAAAATCTCACATAACGTGTCCGCTTGTTTTCTTTTTTCTTAGCTTGGCTTACGACGTTTAGGGATGATGGCTTGTCAATCTGACACATTCAGCTTCTCCCTGTGCATGTTAATTAAAGTGGAGATCAGCTCGCGTATGCAGATTTCACTCTTTAGTCTTTCTTCTGTATTTCACCGAACCGAGACGGCCAAAATGATTATAAAGATGTCTGTTTTCGAGTGGCCTTCATTTAGAGAGTCTTTGAGGGAATAATATATCTATTTCCTCTGCTATTTGCTCACTGCTGAAGCTGCAAATTATGCTTCAGCTGAAAATGGAACGAACGAGTGGGACAGAAAATATTAAGAAAAGAATTTGCATGTAAATAAGATCTCGATGATGTAGCAAAGAATAATTGCAGGTACGAAAACAATTAACTGCTCTGCTAACTAGCCTCCAACTAAATTATCAAGGACCCGTCAATATTTTCTGTGTCTTAAAATCTAAACCGGGGTGCTGGTTAATCTGCATCCGATATTCTGCTAAGCCTGAAACACAAAGTCACATTTCTATTTCTTAATTTGCTTTTCTTCTTTCAGTGGCTTTGTCTACTTGATATTAAGCGATTTGTATTTTTAAATTCGACGCTAAATGAAAGCCAGTTCGCCATTATGCTTGATAACACTTATGTGTTGTGTGTGTATATATATATATATATATATATATATATATATATATAAACGATATGTAATTTTGTGTAATTTTATATATATCAATAAACAGTATTTAAAAAAAAAAAGAAAAAAGACAAACTGGAAAGTTTTTTTTTTGTGACGCGTTTTATCCGTTAGAATTTCATCGGGCTGAGCTATGATGATGTTGCCACATCTACACAAGCACACGAAACGAGAGACGCTAGTAGTTTCAAAATTTTTGAAAGAATATTTTTTTCAATCTAGCCAAAATCATCTATATTCTTTTTCGTTATCTATCCAAACTTTGTTCCTGATTATCCCACACTGTGACAATATAAAATTTACTAAGAATGGTGATATATTTAGACAAAGTCAAGTAGCTCTGTGGCTAAGGGAGAGGGAAAGATAAAATAAATACGGCTATGGGGAAAGAAAAAGATGACCCTGTCGAGATGAAGAAAAGTGGGACCAAAAACAAACCGGGGAGGTTGGGAATCTAGACTTGGATCATAACCAAAGAAGCAGTCGGGAACAAGCCAGGATACACAAAATGGGTCTAGTCTAACCAGGGGGGGGTCCAGAGGAAATCACCCCGATATAACTTAGGAAGACCTAAAAAAGAAAATCATGGCTAGCTCCGTTCAAGCGAACCACGCTCAACGCAGTCTTTTTGTTAAAATCTGTCGAAACCAATCTATCAGTTTTAATCTTCATCTTAAGCTGGTCTCGAAGAATCTGATCAGATCCTGGATGAGAATAACGGTCACCCCGCAAGACTTCCTCCATTCGCGTCGTCCAAATAACCATTCGGGCTATAGCTAGATCCATTTCACCCCAAAATACGGAGGTGACATATTGTCACACGCGTATGTGCGATCAATGAGCGGGAGCATTTCGGAAGCGATACGATCTCTCAGCTCTCCGACAAAGACCCATAGGTGGCGGACATGATGACAATGGTAGACGAAGTGCGAAGCAGTTTCTTCCAAGCCAAGTTCACATCGTTGACAGTCTGGCAAATCCTCCAAGCCCCAGATGAAGGCTTTTTCATTGAGAGAGAGCCTATTCCCAACCAGCCGAAAGTAGATACGTCATCAGCGTACGCGGAAACCCTGACTCGAGCCCCACCTGGAACAACGATTCCTCGTAGGGCCAGACTGCACGCTATATCTCTCAGCCGGCGAAGGACAGGCTCCAACGCCATGGCGTAAAATAAGGACGACATTGAACAACCCTGACGAACCAACCGAGATAGTGCAAAGGCGCACGACCGCCTTTCGTTCACCTGTACAACAACACTGTAGGAGCCATACAGAAGACTAATCCACCGGCAGAAGTCAGGCTTGAATCCGGCGGCTTGCAGGACAGCAGCCAGGGAGCGATGGTACCCCTATCAAATGCCTTGGACTGATCCAAATTGATCAGCACGGCTTCATCGCCGTCTTTTACACCATCTAGGATCGTGCGGATTAGCTGCAAGCTGCTCTGAATTGTTCAGCCATTCACAGCACAAGTGAGCTCGGGTCCCAACAGAATCCAGGTAACCGACACCAAACGCTTCGCAAAACTCTGTAACTCTGTGTTTAGCAGAGGTATGGACCTGTAATCATCTAAATCTAGCTCAACACCCTTGCCTCTTTTCAACAGCGTGATTACATCTCTGGAGATCCGGATGGAGACGAACCTCTAACGGAACCAGTTGTTGAACACGACAGTCAAAATCCGGACAAAGATGTGCGACAGCCTTAAGTACACTTCATAGGGGCAACCTATCCAGACCCGGCGATTTGACTCTGCCGACCTTCTTCGGTGCCGCGTAGACCTCGTCCTCCACGATCTCCCCTCCTCACAGCTAGCCGCTTCAGTCTGCGAAAGCCGAAGAAAGTCAGCCAAATAGCTAACTCTTCGTCACAAAGAGAGAGAATATACGTATGCGTACGCATGCTAACAAAAACACAAAAAAATGGAAATAGATCTAAGAACACACAGGGGTCATTAAAAGATAATAAAGATATCTTTCTCACCCTTTCTCGGACCAATCTTAAATTGTTTTATTACCCTTCACGCAGAATTCTTTCCCTGACAGTTCAAGAAAGACATTTGGGTCACTAACACAAAAACAGAGAATGTTTAATATCGAGAATATTTAACATCGAGAAACATAAAAAATAATTCCTTTTAATAATATGTGGAAATAACAACAGAATCCAGGTAACCGACACCAAACGCTTCGCAAAACTCTGTAACTCTGTGTTTAGCAGAGGTATGGACCTGTAATCATCTAAATCTAGCTCAACACCCTTGCCTCTTTTCAACAGCGTGATCACATCTCTGGAGATCCGGATGGAGACGAACCCCTAACGGAACCAGTTGTTGAACACGACAGTTCAAGTTGCGAGACCGGAGACACGTTTAACAAAATTATGGAAAATAAAGCATAATATATATATATATATATATATATATATATATATATTTCTAAAATCCACATTACAACCAGAAACGTTTGCGGTTTCTCTCTTCTTTTTAATATACACACTTTTATCTCGTTGGAACTACTATAACATCTTCCCTATATATAACCTAAAGAGCCAGGCAAACTTACCTAGGTTTCACCTACGCGGATCGTCAGGGTACGCCGGCCAAAGAGGTAACATTAGAACAGTATATAAATAGCCCACAACATAAAAATATGACCATGTGACAAAAAAAAAAAAAAAAAAAAAAAAACTATTATAGTAACCAGCGTTTCCTATGTCTATACTTATTCAAGATTTCAGATTTAGCAAGTTGTTGGGTTCTTTATACAAAGCGATAGCTAACTTTTCCTCTATAGATAGAGGACAAAATTTTATTACCTACTTTATACTTATGGCATTTCTTTAAATGGGGTCTTTATTATAGCCATGTTTAATTTTCCATACATAAGTGGATAACGTGGTGTTATGTTTGTATCATTCGTTATTAAAACTAATAAGATGGTTATAATATCGGGTTTTAAAACTATTTTGGGTGGATCCTATATATACTTTTGGATTTTCATCAGTATTACTAAGTTTATCCTGGTATATTTTTACTTGGTATACCACGCA